ATTAATATCGATATATTTTTGTCAAATTTTTATGATATCTTCAAACATATATTTTATTAAAAAATAAAAACATCATCGCTTTCTCAAAATCACATAAAGCCATATTATAATATCGACTGAGATAAAGAATAAAATGAAATATTAAAATCACGATGTATCTCGCTGCATTGCGCGAGTACACTTCTAGTAGATTATAAAACATTTGACAAAAACTCTTAAAAACAATTTTTTATGCACGAAATATTGTTTATTGATGAATATTACTTAAAATTTAAGATTACAAAGTAAATTATGCATAAATACAACCTATTAAAGCTAGGTGTTTGAATTCGTATAACTAACTGCGGATAAACAAACTCAAATACAGGATAAACATATAATTTAAAATATAAAAAATATAATTAGGATAATTATTGAGTTTTAACATAATAGTTAATTATTATATTCATAGAAAAATTATATTATTAAACCAAATATAAATTACTTCGTTATTGTACCTAAATTAAATTATAATAAAAAATTGAATTAAAAAATTACACAAAAAATGATGAATTTTAAATAGTCAATTTGATACTAATATCGATATATTTTTATCAAATTTTTATGATATCTTCAAATTTATATTTTATTCAAAAATAAAACATCACCGTTTTCTCATAATCATATAAGACCATATTATAACATCGACTAATATAAATAATAAAATGAAATATTAAAATCAAGATGTATCTTGCTGCATTGCGCGAGTTCCTTTTTAGTAATACAAAAAATGAGAAATTTTAAATACTTAATTTGATTATAATATCGATATTTTTTTCAAGTTTTTATAAATCTTCAAATTTATATTTTATTTAAACATAAAAATATTATCATTTTTTCAAAATCATATAAAAGGGGTGTTTGAGATTGCTTATAAAAACAACTTATTGACTTATTCCGGTGTGTCACTAGTAATAAGCATTTTTGAGTGTTTGGATAAACAATCTATACCGGTGTCAAACCGGTAATAAAGAGTTTTTAAAGAAGTTAAACCTTTCTGACTTATAGAGGGTGTTTGAGATTGCTTATTTAAAACAACTTATGTTTTTTTTTTGTAAAAGTGCTTATTAACTTATGTGGTATCAAACCGGAGTTTTGTAAAAAGTGTTTGGATTAGCTTATAGCGGTACCAAAAAATAATAAGCTGATAAGTTGTTTTTTAGTGTTTGGCAAATTTTGCTTATATATGTAAAATGACCAAAAAAGACAATCTTCCATATTATTGACTTATGAGAGTGTTTGAGATTGTTTATTAACTTATTTGATTTTTTAACATGTAAAAATTTATTTTTCATCATTTATAATAATATATTTGACAAAAATTTATATCAATAACATTAATAATTTATATCAATAAGATTAATAATTAACAAACATTAATAAAACAAGGTTAAAATGGTAAACTAAGTAATAAACAGTTTTTCATAAGTCCGTAAGGATTAACTTATCAAAAACTGCTTATTACCGGTTTGACACCGGTATAAGCAGTTTTATTTTTACTCATTCAAACACTAGCATTTAGCTTATCACCGATGCTACACTGAAATAAGTCAAAAAACACATAAAATAAGCAATCTCAAACACCCCCATAATAAATTGATAAATGCTTTTTATAAAAAAAACATAAATTATTTCAAATAAACAACTTCAAACATCTCAAAATCATGTTATGACATTAACAGAAACAAAGATACACATCTTAATGCATTAACCAAAAAAGTCAATGGTGTCATCTTACATCTTTTTTCCAATGTCTTTAAACATGGTAGAGTACATCTTGGATTTTTGACTCATTAATGTGGAGGTTTGACTCACCCCAACCCGCATGTTCCAAGTGTCATGTCGGAACCCAGGCCCCACCACTACCACCACCACCGCCACCACCGCCACCCATGACCTTCATTCATGATCTGCCGGCAGCCACCATCCATATATACATATACATACACCACTTTCTGTATCTATCACCTCTTTCCTCTACCGAACACATGACGCCACAAGGGTTTTTCATCTTTAATTGGTCAGTCAACCCGTAATCCCCGGTTCAAATCTTTCTGCCATTTTTTTCCTCCAAATCATGCTCTCAAGTTGCTAAAAAGTCCCATTTTTGACAATCCCATCTCTGTATCATTATTTAATCCATCTTTCTCCTCTGTTTTATTCGAATTCTTGTTTTGTTCTTGTGGAGTAAACACAAAAAGCTGCAACAACATATTCTTCAATTGGGTTTCTAGTTCCGATTGCTTTCTGCACTCATCTTTGATTCACACGAGTTCAAGATGGGGTTCTGGGTGCCTGCAATTTCTTGTCTGACTGTTGAAATCAAAGCTTTTTTTTAGGTCAAACTGATCGATTTCATCATGATTCTTGAGCTCTCCAACACCCCATAAGAGATTGGTTTTGTGGGTATGTTATCTTAATCTGAATTGGGTTGTTTAATCCGTTACATTTCATACGATTCTTGAGCTAATCGACAGTCTTCGAATACTTGATTTCTTACAGTTCGATAGGATGGATGCCAAGAAAGATGGCTACAAAAACGCAGTAATCGAATCATCAGGAAATACCTGTTTGTCTGATCGATTGCGTGTTGATAAGTCGCTAATCAGTCTTTTTTGCGTGCAAGAATTGTATCTTCGACAAATTTGTAGTTTAAACAAGAAAATTCCAAAGCAGATCAAGAATCTTGAAGAAAGATTTATTGGATACTGTCTTGAGCTAATTCATTCAAGTGAATCAAGAAAAGATTTGCAGACCTTTTTGCCCCAATCCTTTGGTTGTGATGCTTCATCATTGATCTCAATTGGGGATGAAAGTGGTGTTATAAGTTCTTATTCGGATCCGATCATTGGTTCAATCACGATGAACACGAACATGACGAACGCTTTAAACAAACCTCTGATAACCCAGTTAGAGGTTAAAGAACCCACGAGTTCTCCTGGTGTGTCACAAGTTGGATCATCACAGGATCGACAAAATCGAAGAACGGTTCGTGAGGGTCAAGAGTTTGTGTTACGCGATGCATCTTGTTCTTCATCGAATGCCTACGATCAAGGGTCGCTCCATTGTTCATGGAATGGTGGATTTCCGAGCTATGTTTTCGCTATAGAGGGCAACAGAAGAGTCTTTATAACAACGAATGTGTTAAAAGATTCGATTAGTGATACGGGTATCGACTGTATTTACATTTTTCGTTCTGGAGTTGAAGATTCGGATGTTCACGTTCTTGGCGAAATGAGAGTTTCTACTTCTTTCGAACTCTGTCCGCATGGTACAGAATTCATGGAGACTCGGTTTGTGTTGTATGCGAATGGTGACGGTATTGAAGGAGATGAATGTAATTCTGATCAAAAGGTTGAGAAGAATAAAGGGTTATTATCGAAGAAAATGGCAAACGTTTTCAGGCGTCGATCTTTTATGAGGTCATTCGGTATGCAAGAAAGCGTGTTAGAGCCAAATCAAGATGGCGATCGCCTTCCACCTCCAAAACTCGAGTTAGCCGCCATTGTTATGAAAGATCATATTCGTGGCAGTCGAAAGGAGGGTGATCTTGGCGGGTGGGGATTGAAATTTCTCAGAAAAGATGGCAATTGTGAATCTTGCAGCCTTTGTTCTACCGGTATGAATGTTCTTATTCCTGATGGTTTTCATGGCGGGCCTAGATCAAGAATCGGTGGCGGCCCGTCTAGTCTTATTGAGCGGTGGAGCAGCGGTGGCTCGTGCGACTGTGGTGGCTGGGACCTTGGTTGCCCGCTTACCATACTTCACGATAGGCCGAATTGCGAGGATGTTGTCTTAGGGAATGGCTTTCCGTTTGATCTATTCGTACAGGTATCCTATCGACTACATGACCTCTAATGGATCGTTTTATTGAATATTTATTTTGTTTATTGATGGTTTTGCTGTATGTTTGTAGGGTTGTAAGCAAAGTAAACCGGTTTTAAAAATGGCGGACGTCCGTGGCGGTTTGTATAGTCTTCATTACAAATCAACTTTATCACCCCTGCAGGCTCTTTCGATTGCTGTGGCAGCGATTCACAGTCGTAGTCCAATCTTCCGACCCAAACTCTGTGCAACCTGAAGCAAGGGTGCAACCCTTTTGCATCAGTTGTTCTATTTTTTGGGTAGAGGTCATGTATAGATACGTCATATATTTGTATTGCAGTTTTCGTATGGGTTAACCGAACTCATTCGGTTTGGTTTGATTTTTTCATGATTCAAGATGTCACAAGTCACGAGACGTTTGTTGCTGCGTAGATGTTACTTGTAAAACTCAAAGGCATGAACTATTTAGAAGTTGACATAACAGAAAAGGAATATGAAGTACACAGACATTTTTTGGTCCAAAATATGGTTGTTGATGGTTATATTGAGATAAAGTTTCATTTTGCTTTGAATTTTGATGATTAGAGTGTATAAATGATCCGACCCGATTCGGTTCGTAAAATTAAAGGAGTTCTGTAACCATTTCATTTGATTTTAGCTTTGAATATCTATACTACATATATAAGCATTTAAAGGGCTGTTTGTTTGGCTCTTAATGATTACATTAAGAGGCAACCTCTTAATCGGTAAGAGGCAGAGACTGTTTGGCAAAAAAAAATGAACCTCTTAATGGTTACAAAAGCCTCTTAACCATTTTGTGTCTAAGGCTCCACTAAATGGTTCAGATGTAACTTGTTCCAACAGCTCACGGTCTCCATCTCCTTCTCCTTCCCCAATCTCACGGTCTCCTTCCCCATCTTGGAAAAGCTAACAGCAACGACAGAGATGAAAATAGCATACAGCTGCACGGATCGGTTAATGGCTTGACCTGGCACAGGTTCATCTTTTGAAGATATTATTCCTTTGAAGTTCTGCACTAGTCGCTGTAAGTGTGTGTTGTTTTGTTTACGCCTGTTAGTATGTTGTATTAAGACCAATTGAACATTTCTGTTAGAAACGACGATGAATTTTTGTATGAAATTTGATTACAAAAATTTGAAGGTACAAGTTGAAGTCTGAGTTTGTGTTTTAGTTCAACATCCCGTTAGGACATGACAAGAGTACACCGAGAAATTCTCACCTTTTTGGTTCCACCCAGACCTGACTTCTTATGTATGGTTCGTCTACTTAATGTATCATGCCTTTTGACTTCTAAAGTGGAATTTGTTCGGATGAACATGGAAAAAAGTACCAAAACTCTTATCTGATAAAAACGACATAAAATCTTTTTGCTAAGTGAAATGCCACTAATGATGGATTATAATCCTACCCAATATGGAAACCGAGAGCGTTGACCTTAAGTGAAAGTTTGACTTCATATACACTAACAGATATCCAAGGTACCTTGTAACTCAGATTATATATAGTAATATTATGGACCAAAAATCAACATAATCATTTTGTTTGTAATGAAGATGAACGAGTAAATAGTTAATTTTTAACATAAAATATTCCAAAAAAAATATTGCATTCTTTAGCAGAAGGACTCAAGCCTATTTCCAACGGGATTTTAACTTTAAACTCTTGTGTATTTAAACAAAGTCATTACACTTCTTTGTCAATTGAGCAACACAACTAAGAGCATCTCCAACAGATTCCCAAAATGGAAACAAAAATTAAAGTCTCTAATTTTTTTTATATTTATCTCCACAGCTTCCGCATTTTATAGAATCCAATATTGATTATAATTTTAAAATATTTCATTTATCTACTAGAATATTATTTATCTCTCTAAATATTAAGTTTTCTAATGGTGGGATATATTAAAAAAATATTTCTCTCACATGTAATCATTTTTGTGGTGTTCATATTTGGAAAAAAAAAAATTATTTTTTTCCTATTTTCTCTATTTTAGAGATTGTTTTAGGAAATCTGTTGAAGCATAAAATTGGTTCAAAATCTCTATTTTCTCAATTTTGGAGAATCTACTGGAGACCTCCAAGAGCTTTACATTTTCCATTTAGAATAACTTTCAAGTCTGCTTATTCTATGCATTGCACGGGCATATTGCTAGTATATACATATACATATATATATATATATATATAATTATACGGTTGGGTTTGGTGCAAAGTATGATGAGAAGTGTAAGAAAAGATCTCCACCATTTGATCAATTCTAATTGAATGTCAACATTAATGAGGTGCGCTGATATACGCCAGATCAATTCCCTTCAATTGTAAAGCGCAAGTTATGGTGGTTATGAGAGTAAAAATTATTAAGGGTTCACATCTCTTCTTACGTTTCTCACCTTAACTCTTTTTCTCACACAATCATTTGCCTATATATATATATATATATATATGGTTGGGTTCACGTGAGATCAGCTTGTTTTCGTGAAACCTGTGATACCACATTTTTACACTTGAAACTTTACAGCAAAATATTGTGAAGGTAAAATAAATCGAACATTTGCAGTGTTTTATTGTGAAGTTTTGAGTGTAAAAATATGGTCTCACATAAACAATACGATCTCACATGATCCCAGGTCTCTCTCTCTCCATATATATGTGTGTGTAATTCTACCTTAGATCAATTGGTAAAGGGACAAGTGTTTTTGTTTATATATATATATATATATATATATGTATTTCTTAAATATTTATGATATTATATCTGAAAGAAAATTCTATAAATTATTAGAGTTAGTTCATACGAGAATTATAACCAATTAGATAATAAAAAAACAATAGAATCACATGTGATTTTACACTAAATGCTCATCACATGTGATTCTACACTAAACGCTCATCACATGTGATTCTACAGCTGATTCGATCATTTTCGTGTTCTTTTATTTTGGTTATTGTTCTCGTCTGAACCTTCCTCCTTATTATACGTTTATAACTCAAAAAAAAAAAAAAACCATGCAATGTTTTACGATAACCATATCATGACGTAATCATCTCTTAGATTTTGCGATGTTTGTGATTAGAAAAATGCAAACATTTCAACTTGTTTACTTTTACGCTTATTTTTCAAGTCTTTTCATGATTGCACGAAAGAGCTTTCCAAGAAGTATTGCTCTTCTACACTCACGCTATATCTTTAAATCGATCTTTTCCTTATTGTCCAAGATTTTTGACTGTTGCCCTATCGGAGCCCTGACCATGTCTCAATTTCAGTGAAACTTATCATACAAAAAGACCAACTAAATACATTTACCTGGATAAATGCTTATCGGTAAATTTAACACCACCACTTATTTATTGGGTAAGATTTCAATACATCGAAAATGTATCGTATGTAACAATTTACCCAGTAAGTGCTAATTGTGGTAAGAGTTATCACCCTTCACTTACCGGATAAGACTTCTGTCCTTATCTTGGCTCTTACCCGGTAAGGTTCGTAGTCGTTGTTATATTCATCTTGTAAGGTAATGTGACTTGGTAAGGGCTTACCAAGGTAAACGTTTGGTAAACAACCCCTGAGATTAAATCTATGACTCTTTGGTGAGTATGAATTTTTTTCCAGGGGATGTTTGGTTGGATGTATTAAATAGTAATTAATTAAATTAAAAATAAAAAAAACTGTTTGGTTTTATATAAATTTGATGAGTTCATTTCCTCATAAGTCTAAATTTTCATTCAAGGTTGAACTGGATGATTGAAAATCCAATTTTAATCTCATTTTTTTCTGTCATTGTCATTTTCATGACTTAACCAAATAACCCTCGGGACATGTTTGTTAACGACTTAATGAGTTTAATGGAACTCACAACTTATTCAGTCACCTATATATGACTGTTTGGTAGTGACTTAATGATAAATAAAGTGATCTTTCAGTAAGCTTTTATAGGGATGAAACTTTATGCAGAAAATCAAGTTTTTTGTAAACCTACCCCTCCCAATTTAAAACACATTTAAGATAAACTAACACAAACAATTTTATTCATACGTAAACCAAACTAATCATCCTGCTAATGTTTATCTTCCTTTTTAACTCTTTTTTGCTATTTTTATTTCAATACTATATTATAAAACATTTGACAACAACTCTTAAAAACTATTTTTATGCATAAAGTACTGTTTATTAATGCATATTACTTAAAATTCAAGATTACAAGTAATTTTGCGTACGTACAACTTATTAAAGCTACATTTTTAAATTTGTGTAACTAACTGCAGATAAACATAATCAAATATATGATAGACATTCATTTTAAATATAAAAATTTAAAATATAATTAAGATAATCGTTGAGTTCTAAAAGGATGTTTAATTATTATTCTTATAAAAAATTAGATTATTAAACCAAAAATAAATTACTTTGTCATTAAATCTAAATTAAATTATAATAAAAATTGAATTAAAGAAGTTACATAAAAAAACGTTAACTGTGAATACTTATTTTGATACTAATATCGATTTATTTTTTAAAATTTTTATGCTATCTTTAAATTTATATTTTATTTAAAAATAAAAACATTATTACTTTCTTAAAATCATATAAAATTATATTATATCAATAAAGACAAATAACGAAAACTAAATATTAAAATATAAATTTATCATGTTATATTGTGCGAGTACCTAATGAAGAGACTTTTATCCGGCCCACATTTCTAACTTTTGTCAGGCCCATTTTAATGAGAAGCGGCCCAATTTTGAATTTACAAACCCTAAAGATTAACGAACTGCTATAAGTATCCACAACCATTCTAAACCCTAATTTGCTATGTGACGTCCAACATGTCGAAGCGGGGTGTGTTTACTATGATCCGTTTCATTTCGTCGATCACGAATTTACTTTTTGATGATTTCATGGTTGTTTCTTAATGTGATTCATGTTTGTTTTACTTGTGCTGCGTGTAGGACGAGGAGGATCGGCGGGGAACAAGTTTCGAATGTCACTTGGTCTTCCGGTGGCGGCGACGGTCAATTGCGCTGATAACACTGGAGCGAAGAATCTTTACATTATTTCAGTGAAAGGTATCAAGGGGCGGTTGAACAGATTGCCGTCAGCATGTGTTGGAGACATGGTGATGGCTACAGTGAAGAAAGGTAAGCCTGATCTTCGTAAGAAGGTGATGCCTGCTGTTATTGTCAGACAACGGAAACCATGGCGGCGAAAGGATGGTGTATTCATGTACTTTGAAGGTAATATTCAGTCTTATTTTGTTTGCGTAGACTTATTTTATTGTTGATGCTTTAATGGCTGGTATAATGATTTTGTATTGCTACGGATTAGTTACGTATCTGCTTGAATCCCGTAGTTGATACAGTTACTAGTTTAGAAAGGAGAATCTAACCTATTGCTACACAGATGCATTTTTGCTTGTTTTGATCACATTTGCTCCATTTTAGGCTCTAGATAAACCCATATTCGTTATCCCTGAATCGTTTTAGCTTTGGGTATGATGCTCTATGCTTTACGGCTTCTTTTGTGGATTTGCGTTACCAGACATTAGTCATGTATCTGCTTCACATCCATGGCTGATACAGTTACTTGTTTGGAAGAGGAATTGAACCTATCGTTACAGATGTGTTGTTGCTTATCATGCTCACATTTGTTCCATTTAGGCTCTACATAAACCCCTTGAACCTTTTTGGCTTTCTGTATCATGCATTATGATATATGCTTCTTTTATGAATTTTCATAACCAGACATTAGTCATGTATCTGCTTCACTTACATGGTTGATACAGTTACTTGTTTGGAAGATGAATTGAACCTATCGTTACAGATATGTTGTTGCTTATCATGCTCATATTTGTTCCATTTAGGCTCTACATTAATTTCTTGTTTCTTTTCTTATTCGGGTATGATACTTTATGCTTTATGAACTATCTTATTAATTTGTATTTCCAGACATTAGTCATGTATCTGCTTCAATTCCATGGTTGATACAGTTACTTGTTTGGAAGAATAATCGAACCTATCGTTACAGATGTGTTGTTTATCATGATCACATTTGCTCCATTTAGGCTCTACATAAACCCTATAACTTTATCATGATCACTTTTATTGCATCATCATAGTCATCATCATCATCATCATGTGTCCTTGTTTAAGCCTTTCTTCTGCCAAAATTAAGCCAATCTGTCTAATATACATGCTTAGCTTTTCAAGAACACATCTGTCCAATATGGGATGGGGTATAAGCCATTGTTTTCTTACTAGTGTAGTTGCCTCTTGTTTTTTGCATTGAGTTAATGGAATGTGGTTTCTTGTAAATGGTTCTGCTTGCAACCTTTTAGTTCTGGTTTTGTATGTATTTTGCTGTTACTCATGTTTTTTGAATTCAGTATTTGCAATGTGCATTCACGGATGATAATTCTAACCAGACTAGTCAAGCATCTTCTCATCTCGATTGGTTGATACTGTTACACGTCTGGAAGACCAAATCGTGACCAATCGTTACAGCTGTGATGATACATTTGTTGCACACAGCTGCTACATCTGGTCCCTACATTTGAATCCTTTCATTAAAGATCATTAGGATCCTGCAAATTTTAAATTTCAGCTTTCTTTGAATCTGTTGCAACAAAAGATGAACATAACATGTATTTGTTATTTCTTAAAACAGATAATGCTGGTGTGATTGTGAACCCCAAAGGAGAAATGAAAGGTATTTACCTCATTTTTACTGGATGGCAATTGGTTTTTCGTTTGTTTTGTTTCGTTGCTTACAAACCATGTGCGTCAAATTGTAGGTTCTGCGATTACTGGACCAATCGGCAAGGAGTGTGCTGATCTATGGCCAAGAATTGCAAGTGCAGCCAATGCTATTGTCTAAATTAGTCGTGTATGGTCTTTATTTTGTGGGCATCATTTGATATGTGCAAAACTACAGTAGTGAATTTTAGATCCAGTTAGATACTATCTGCTTTGGTCTTTGTTTGAGCTTTTTTCCTTGAAAGATTTTTCTATGAAGATCTTGAAATTTGCATGATGTCTTAATGTTATCTGCCAATGTATGTACCCTGTTCAATGCTTACTACGGTCACGCATTTTAGCAGTGAACATTAACAAGTGACCGATTACACACTTTTTCTTATACGAACAGGGTTTTTTTTTTCATATTACCATCAACTAGTTTAATCCAATATCTTATTTTCTTTATATATTTAATTATTTACTCTAATATTCTCTTTTATTTTATTACACTTCCAAATACAAATATCTTTGATACAATTTTATTATAGGGAAAATTACATTAAGGGCAAAATAGCTTTTATACTTATTTTCGGTTCATTTAATATATATATATATATATATATACTATCTTATTAAACAAATTTAACAAAAATTTTAAAATTTTAAAATATTAAATGACCAAAATACCTTTTATACTTATTTTTTCATTTTTTCACCTCCTCCTTTCTTCACATACACTCGATCTTTCACAACCGATTTTTCTAAAATTATAATATTAAATTTATACTTTATACTCCTATAATTAATTAATTAATTTACTTTACTTTACGTCATTTACTTTTAAATGTTTTATTTTAAACATTTATCAAATTAACATACATAATCGTATATCAATTAAAACATGTTTAAAAAATACATTTTTATTTTAACAAGTTACACCATTATAATCGTCTCGTTAATACATTGGAAATGAGTCCAATATTGAATAGTTTTTGATTTAATTATATTA